TCAAATCGAGCCAAACAAAGTCAAGCACAAGCCTGATCATTGATACTCTTCAGTGGTTATTGATACTCGTCAACCAACTGAGCAAAGCACCTTGACCGTTGCGGAGGTAGCGAGTGTTGATATTTGGAGTCCTGTGACTGATGGAGCGCAGTTCCGGGATCTCATGGATCGTCCGTTTACGAAAAAAATCAGATCTTTGCTATTCAGGAGCCACAGTGTATTGCAGTGGTCGACAGTGTAAGCACGCGGCGATGTCCCCAGAATGGTGGCGCCGTCACAGCTGGAGGTGGTGACGGGACGCCCGGCCGTGGGAATGCAGATTGCTGCCTTCACCTCCAGCGTGTGCGTGATGTTGACGCCGCTCGCACAGATTAGTGTTGGCCTCATATGCCGAGTATCCATGCCGGAAAATAAAGTGCATCGGGCCTAATCATTCGTTGCATATTTGAATACATGCGCACGGTATTTCATACACGCACAAGGCCAAACTATGCGACGGCACTCGTGTGTGTATCCAAGTCGGAGTGACATCACGCTCTCGGCCGTGTTTTCCGTCTCTGCCCCCGCCTCAGATCATCGCGCCTTGTTTTTTACGGCAGTTTTTCCGTTTTAGGTGGCAGTGCGCGTACGTCCTCTGGCGCCCAACGAGAGAGCGCGCGGAAGAGTAGCAGACGCGCTCGACAATAAGGTGCGTCAGCTTGAAGTGTCGTGCCGCATGGGTGGTGTTGACCTGCCTCCGTGCACCCGGCGAAAGGTCTCCTGTTGTGAATCACAAATTGTCGATTTGCCGGGTTGCCGGTGGCCGCTACTGACTGGCTGGCCGTCCACGTGTGATGACATTGAGCCAAAGGTAAAGCTGCTCACCTTTGGGAAATGGGTGAGAGCTTCTTAATCTGTGTGCTTGGCCGTAGTATTTACAAAGGAAGAAAGTGGCCTATTCTAAATACACCGCACTTAACGAACCGAGTACATTTAGCTCCTGTCTATTCTGTGTTTCAGATGATTACACTGCAGGAAAATGACGGGGACAAGAAAGACGTGCTTCGTCAGAAGCGTCGCCACGAAAAACAATTTGTCTACGACATGGCGTTTGGAGAGCATTCGACCCAGGTTATTTGCCACCATGCATTAGTGCATCACCTGCATTGTCACAGCTTTGATGCAAATTCACGCTAACGTCAACAGGACTGGCCCGTTTTTACGAACAAAGAAATGTAAACATCTGAGAGCCAAGTCATGTCAATATGAGGCCCAAAACAGAGCTGTTTTGATGCCCTATATCCAACCGAAAGTAGGTCAGATCATTATCCAGCGATACGGAACACGTTTTGTGGAATGGCTGCCTATTAATCTAGTGTGGCATAGGACGTTGTGCTACCACTTCCTAGATATTTACAATGGGATTTAGAGCTCACATGAAGTTCCGTGACCCGGCTTTGCTCAACACCGATCGAAAGATAATCGCCTTGCATGCCACCAAGTGGCTTGAATTAGGATCGATGCCCCCGTTTGAGACACTTAACTGTGTTACTTGACCACGAGGCCACTGACTGCTCCTGCTCATAAAAGCAGGCACCTACATATATAGAAAGTGTATCGTGGTTTCGTCAAAATACATTGACCACGGCAACTCACTATTTAAAGGGAATGCCCCACATTTTACCATACTGAAGCAAATATCAGACATGACAACATTAGCTCACTTATACCTATTGGCATCCTTTTAAGTGGAAAAGACTGTTCTGGGCAACACAACTTCTCTGTTTCGTACTCAAGCTCCTCAATACGTCATGGTTGATTAAGTCATCATACCTTGCACGGCACTGACCCAGAGCCAATCGACGGCCGTTATATCTGGAAACAGTGCTCACGAACGCCAGATATGAACGACTCGGCAATTATTTTTTTCTGCCTGATCACCGTGTGACCAATGGAATGTCAGGATTTGAATGAGGTTATTATGGCGTCATGGATGTCTGAGTGTCCTTGAAATAGTCTCCCCGAATTAGTACGCACATCTTGCGGGCGTGTTGTTCAGAAACTAATGGGGCTTAGGTCTTGGGAAGAGCAGGACTGTGAACTGCACGTAATGATTGATCTTCAGGAATGCTATTTCAGTTCAAAGCCCCATACAAATGAGGAGTAATCCTCTTAATATGTTTGTTTTAACGTCTTTCGAATTTCTTCGGTGATTTATTGTCTTTAGACGAAAACTCGCCTGGGGGAAGGGTAACTTTTATGATCTAGCTCCTGCAACGGGGATTAACAGCCGCTCGTAATGTGTTTGGAACCAAGCATGATGGGCAGCAAGTTCCAGAAGAGAGCGTCAATAGGTTGCACATACTTGCACGCTCTTCTAAGCTCGCTCACAGGATTCTCGTAAGAAGTGGTCGTCCGTCCGTTTCGCAAGTGGTCCGGTGAGACGACCGGACCCCAACAGCTCCCAAAAATGACCCTCATCTCCGCATGAGTGCAGCAGATAAAGACCCCGGCAAAGAGTGTCCTGCTTTCTGTTTGATTGGTTGCAGGTGTCTTATGGCCCCAGCAAACGTCGCGCTATGGGGCCGGCGATGGAACCCGTTCCATTAGGCCGGCGATGGAACCCGTTCCATTTGCTCTGCGAGGGCTGCCTGCGCCGGACCGCAGTATGCTCCCAGCTGGCGATGTATTGCCCCCGTGATGATAGCTGAACGGGGACCATCGATGAACAGCCGGCGAGCGCCGCCCACGCCTTGGCGGCAATAATCACCTGCGTGTGTTTTCCGGCCAGCCCAATGTTGCTAAGGTGTGCGCGAGGGGGGAGGGAGCTGCGCTGCGCTGCTACCTGGCCGCTGCTGGATGTTTGTGCGTCCCCGGCTGCTGCGGCCACGCCCCCCCCCCCCCCACGCAGGAGCGAATTTGTACTGAGGAGCCCATTGGTCAGCATACGAGCCAGATGGTTTTATCGCACGACGCGGCATGTTGTGACTCCGGTACACCCAACATCAACACACACTCATGTGAGCCAGAGAGCTAGGATGAAGTGGGTGACCGGATCATTGGCGGCTGGTGGGACCGGTCATGGCCTATGAACGGCTGTTTCCCCGCACACGGCTGTGCGCCCTTACCCGCGATTCCCCACCTCCACCTTTTTAGCTTAAGATCATATTTAAGCTGGGCAAAAACGGAACTGGATGCACTCATAATGCGCCGAACTGGCAAGGGTCCCGCGCAACTGGCGAATTACATTGACAAGAGCCCGCTGGATAACAACCCTGAGAGCCCCTTCGGCCTTAACGTATCCCCGCAGACTCCATGCATTCGGCGCCCCACCACACTCACTTAAAGCATACACATGCGCTGGCGCCCACGTCACCCCACTCATTCTTGGTTCGCTAGCGAATAGGGACTCCCTTTTATCCAGCGCATATCCAGCGCATATATTTAGCTCGTCTGCGCGAGTCCTCGTTAAGCTAACTGAAATGCGTTTATCACATTTTAGACATTCAATAAAGCCACGTTTAAGCCTTATTTCGAATGTATAATGCTAGCCTGTCATCTCGGCACCGACTCGGCTACTGGGCCGACATCAGGTGTCCGAAGCTGGACGGCGACTCGCTCCCTCGCCTCACCTCCGGGGTGACTGCTCCCTGCTCCGACGACGCTTCCCGCGTTCCGTCCACGGAGGGCGTCCCATCATTCATTTGGCCACGCCCACCCTTCACAGCCACCCGCTGCCGCGCACGAGCCTTAGGCAGCCCGTCGTCCAGCGCGGAGGCGTCGCCTCCGCGCCCTCGCCTCCCGCCTGCCGGAGCGAGATTTGCAGGGCACCGCCCCACGGCGCGTCCCTCAGAGGCCTGGAGGCAGACAGCGCGCCCGATGTGACGATGGAGCCCCTCAGCAGACGAACGCCCGGTGTGACCTGCGTTCACGCTTCGCGGTCTCCTCGGCCGGCTCTGGAGACTCGGCCTGACCGGCCTGGTCTGCGACCTGGTTCCTCGCCGCCCTTCCTATGGGCGTCGATGACGGGATCTCTATCCGTCCCAAACATACCCCCATCAAGCGCTCATAAGGTCTGGCATATACAACCTCGGAAAAGAGCAGGCTGTGTCTTGCTCTCTCCCAAGACATGGTACACCAACAGATAGATCCAGCTACCGCCGTGCATAATCCGGCATCCCAGGCGGCCCCCACTGGCCCTGGGTCATACTATGACCTATGCCTCCTTATGCCGTCACGCCCAGGGTCAAGCGAGAAACACCAAAACGGGTCAACCGTCTCTTAGTAAAAAAGCGAGACCGTGCCTTTGAGTCCAGTCTCCCCACAAACGCACACCTGCGTAAAAGCAGGACTGCGGTCGTCTGGCTTCTCAGCCCTGCCCTAGTCGCGCCGTGCTGCTCGGGCGCGTTCCGCACCTGTCATCCTTTGGTTTCGGTCGCTATACTATTCGATCTTCGGGAGAGAACGGCGTGTTGCGTATCGAACAAAGGTCTGACAGCCCGGCGGAAATTGACCTCATCAATTGCTTAGGAAAAACTCTATTTAAACGAATGTAAGAAAAACAAACCGTTCCACTAATTTACACCATAATCAAAGGACACCTTCAGGAACATGTAGGGGTGGCCCATACGCCGCTCCTAGTCGCGACGCGGGAGAGCGAGGGCCGCGAGACAGGCGCTGCGGCTCCACGTGGCCGCCTCCAACGGCAAAAATCTAGGTAGCCCCGGCGCAGGCTAATGGGCGAGCCGTCGCGCCGAAGCGCGCGCCATGCGCCTCGGACACCATGCTCAGCCACGCCGGGCGCGAGTGCCCTGTCACCGCCTGGCCGAATCACTTCCAGCCTCGCCTCCACGCTAAATCATTTAAAACGCGGACTGACACCGGCGTTTACCAAAAAAGAGCATCACTAAGGCATAGACTCGTCACGTGACACGTCATGCCTCCCCCCTCTCTTTTAATGATGGGAGCGCGCCCGAGATACATTGTCCGGCCGGGAGGGTCGCATGGCCAGTGCCCTCCACGCTCCTTAACTGTGCGGAAGAGAAGAGGTGGCCGTGGCCTGCGCCTGCCCGGTAGGGATGGGTCAAGGGGCACGGGAGCGCCAGCCGTCCATGGCCCGGGAGGAATTGGGACAACAGCCTGTGGGCTCATACGTGCATGTTGTCGCCGGTGTCGTGTCGTCCGCGGAGCCAGATGTCGCCTCCCGACTGTCACCACCACTTTTCTTCCGCGCTCCTCACTCCTTGGGATACTCCGGGAGACTCCTCTCTCCTCCAGCGCCTCCTCGGGACCCCCCTCGAAAAACCCCTCCCTCTCTCTCTTTCAGCACCTCTTCGGGGCTCCCTCGAAAGACCCCTGTTTAGGCCTCTTGCATGATTTATAATTTTCCATGAATCTTTCAACTCGATCAGCCCGCCTTCGCTTTTGCGCATAAACCGATAAATTTGCCGCCTTTCCTCCTCCGTCCAATGTGTCACCAGACCGGCCAGCGCTACTTCCGCTGAGTCCGGCGCCAACGTGCCCGTGGGCCAGATCTCGAGCGTGGTGTCTCTGGCGACGACGCAAGGAGTCGGGCGGGCCGTCCCAGGGCCCGCCCGCTCGCGCCTTGGGCGGGCCCTACGCGCACCCCTGTGGCCCAGTTCCCACGCGGCGTGGCGCGTCTAACGCCGGCTGGGGTGATGGCGGCGCCGGGGCGGCGGGGTTCTTGGGTTGAAGCGGCAAACATCCTCACAGCATGGTAGTTAAACATTCCTATACGCATGTTGCGTCGCCGGAGATCTAACTTTCGCGTCCATTAGTCTTGATCGGTCTGCGGAGGGTAGGCGTTCTCCTGTGGCGTGATGGTCCATTTCGGTAGAAGAGGTCACCGTCATAGCCGTTCCGCCAGGGAAAACGGCGGCTTACCCCACCTGGCCGGGCGACACACACCGTATTCCATGAAGATCCGGTCAACACTGTGGGCTGATCGGCCGGAGCGTCGGACGGGTCCGCGTTTAGCTCTCAGGCCCCGCTCGACCTCATGGTCGTGTTGGGTTGGGCGGGTGGAATTCCTGGCCAGGGCCGGCTTGCTCGCCGTCCCAAGCTCCGCTGGGTAGTTGGGCTGGTGGAATTCCTGGCCGCTGCCGGCTTGCTCGCCGTCCCACGTTCCTCTGGGCAAGCTTCACCGATCCCGCACGGATGGCGCGCGAAGAAGAAAGTGAGAAAATGTATGCCTACACTTACCCTGGGGGGGGGGGGATACCTAATGTGCCCATGGCTGGTCGGTATCACGGCACAGGGGGAATGCTTGATGTGCCGCCGCCGGCCGTCATCACGGCACGGGTGCACGGCCTGCCGAGAAAGCACCGCGAGCTCGGTGTGGGTCGGTTCCAGCGCTTGGCCGCCCTGAGAGATATTCACAGGCTCAGAGGCTCTGAAGTGAACTACTTGAGATGCAGGTGCCTTGTCGCTTGTTGGCCGCTTTGTGTCACTGGACGTTTTGGCATGCTGTAATGAACAGTGAGAAACAAGGCGCCCTACGAAAATTCTTGTTTCAATGCCATAGGCCCAGTATGAGGAACCCTTGCTTTTGCTGAAGGCAGGGGTACAGCATGATTCCCTCTTGTGTGCGTTCCTGATCTTTTCGTCATGCGGCAACCACGTGTCAATTCATCAACCAGCCGAGCATGAATCCGGGTCCAGAATCCGAAGCGCGAGTCCTGGCGTCGCGGGTCTGCCCCTGACATACAGCACGAGTCCGAGGCCGAGTACGGTCACGTCCACGACTAGTGGTTCCAGGTCGGAGCTTGACCTTCGGCGATGGAGCCATAGACCCGGGTCATCCCAGACTGGTCCTCGTCCGAGTCTGTGTATGAGCCGGTAGTCCCGGAGCTGAAAGCTGATCAGCTCCACACGAGGTCACCCAAGACAAAAATATTGTTCATGTCACATTGCCAGGGCTAGAGATGGTCAGAGACAAAGTTATAGCAACCCGAAAAATGCAAGGAAGAGGCGTAAAAGCAAGGTGACATTGCATTAAAACTGTTATGCCAGACACCGCTCTAATTCACCCACGTTATTCTGGGGACCGCTCCAACTCACTCCAACCACACTGCTATTTCACAAGCCCAATATCAGTATGCATGCACATCTCCCGGGGCGGCAGCGGAGCTCATTGTCATTGAGCCTTCAGTGGGGCTTGGTAGTAGGATATGATTGTGGCCCTCGGGGAGTGGCCCGAGCCGTCGGCCGTAGGTGAGATAGGGCACCAACCCTTTTGCCGCTTCCAGCGGCTCAAAAGGGGGACGGGGACACACATGTATCGCTTATCTGGTCATTCCGGAGCTAGGATCCGACTGTCGTCAGTCGGGAGCTAGGACTCGACTGTCGTCAGTCGGGAGCTAGGACCCGACTGACCCCTCGTTCGCGCCCCCTGCCTGACCTCTGCTCGGCCTCACCATGAGCCGCCGCTGATTAGCCAGAGGTTTACGAATGTCTTCCCAATGAACTAAATCTCTCTGATCTGAGCCAATACTTTCTGATTTGAGCCCTCCAAATCCTTCCTTTTCTCGCACGCAGGTGCCAGAGTCTGAATATCATTTCTCTGCAAGGAAAATATATTCCTCTTGAGCATGAGTACCGGAGTCCAGATTCGAGGCCCGCGTTAACCTTACTCGGACGCACGTCTGCGAGCAGCGTGTTAGCGGCGCTCAAGCCACGGTCACAGACCGGCGGCCGAGACAGGCCTCGAAGCAGGCGCCGCGCCACGCCGCCCATTGCAGCAGCGAGGCCGGCTTCTTACAGCTGTATGCGGTCCACGGTCACAGACCGGGGGCCGAGCAGGCCTCGAAGCAGGCGCCGCGCCACGCCGCCCATTGCAGCAGCGATGGCCGGCTTCTTACAGCTGTATGCGGTGTTACCGGCGCTCAAGCCACGGTCACAGACCGGCGGGCCGAGCAGGCCTCGAAGCAGGCGCCGCGCCACGCCGCCCATTGCAGCAGCGATGGCCGGCTTCTTACAGCTGTATGCGGTGTTACCGGCGCTCAAGCCACGGTCACAGACCGGCGGGCCGAGCAGGCCTCGAAGCAGGCGCCGCGCCACGCCGCCCATTGCAGCAGCGATGGTCGGCTTCTTACAGCTGTATGCGGTGTTACCGGCGCTCAAGCCACGGTCACAGACCGGCGGGCCGAGCAGGCCTCGAAGCAGGCGCCGCGCCACGCCGCCCATTGCAGCAGCGATGGCCGGCTTCTTACAGCTGTATGCTCACTCGCACCCCGCCTGACCACCTGTTTGGGAATATGGCCGATATTGCCGATATATCCAGTAGGTGCCTACGCTGTCATGTTCAGTATGTCATTTTTGGAATTAATTTGAAGCGTAGCAGTTACATACTCATGATATGTGCTTTTGGCCTTCTGCTTAAGGTCATGTCTTCTTCGTGAGTATGCGCCTTTGATTTGCTCGCCCTGGCCAGTTCCGATGGGATAAAGTGGAAGGTTGCTTAGCTGTAGCTTGGTGGTCTTGCCAATGACGCTTTGGTGACCTCAGATGACCCAATATGACAGAAAACATCAATGGCACTTTCGCAGTGTTCACTCTATGGCTAAGGCGCCGGCTGAGTTAGTTAATCCTCGTGCCGTGTTTGCATTTTATGTGTATGCATATTGGGCTACTTGTGTGAAATGTGGTTATTTACGCACATTTATCGATTCACTCTAGCTTCATGTTACATAACCTGATATCCCAGCGTTCCAAAATTCATCCAGCGGGATGTGCAGGACGTGGTGCTACCAGAACCCTGGTCCTCCGGCGGCCCCCGCACACAATCCGTCGGTGCTTATCCGTTGCCCCTTGACCCTGACCCCAGCCATCTGACCTGTCAGGCCCAACTGGCAAGCCTGGGGCGCTCAGAATCTGGGCTGACCGCCGCCCGGTTCAGTACTGATTGGCTGATTTCGAACAAGGGGAGGAGCAAGGGGCAGAGAAGCCCGAGCCAGGGATGTAATAGCATGAAAACAATATCGATATTCCTACCACCCAAATGGCCGATACCAGACTGATGTGATGTCCACATGACAACGGGCTGATGACTTGTTGGTAAGGACGCAGGGGAGGCTTTGTTTGCGGATTTATTTGATCTGGCGTCGCATCTTCAAGAGGGATTTTTAGAACAAGATTAAAACATTTCCTCATCCATCTCAAGTTCATATAGCACAGGTCTGAAGATGCCGAGCCATGTAATGCTGGAGAACACCTGCATGTACCCTAACAACGGGGGAGCCGGGATTTCACTCTCACAAACCATCCAGATGGCAACAATCTGCCAGGTCACTGTTTCGGCGCAAAGCCTGCCCCGCACTGACCAGCTCTACCGGTTGTGTTGCAGAAAGAGCTGTACGAGCGCACCACCCGGGGGCTGGTAGATGACGTACTGCAGGGCTTCAACGCCACAGTGTTCGCCTATGGCCCCACAGGTGAGCACTGGGACAAACTGGACGAGTCGTGACAGGGTTAACGCACGCGTATTGCTCGCAATATGAATTATATGAATACGCGTGCCTTGTCACGAAAGGTATTTTAAGGCATGTGCCACTATATTGCGCTAGCTTGTCCTTATCATTGAAATCATCTTCAGATATGCTCATATGCAATTGCCACTGTCCACGTTGGATCACTGATTCTACACGAACGCTGGTCATCAAACTTCGTCACGCCATGATAAATGGCATTATATGGCATGAAGTGATCATAATTACACGCTCATTGCAGCAAGTGCACCAGGTATACTACACATAGTTACGACACGTAACAGATAACAGTATCAACGACATTCAACGGACTGATAATAGCTGCAAACGGCCAGCGGGCGGCCAGGCGTCGCGGTTGGAACATATGGGTTGACAGGTGTGGCGGCTGGTATGTGTGCGTTGACAGGCGTGGCGGTTGGTATGTGTGCGCTGGCAACCGTCGCGGTTGGTACGTGTGCGTTGACAGACGTCACGGCTGGTATGCGTGCGCTGGCAACCGTCGCGGTTGGTACGTGTGCGTTGACAGACATCACGGTTGGTATGTGTGCGCTGGCAACCGTCGCGGTTGGTACGTGTGCGTTGACAGACGTCACGGTTGGTATGTGTGCGCTGGCAACCGTCGCGGTTGGTACGTGTGCGTTGACAGGCGTCACGGTTAGCACGTGCGGACAGACAGGCGTGACAGTTAGCACGTGTGGACTGGCAGGCGTGACAGTTAGCACGTGTGGACTGACAGGCGTGACAGTTAGCACGTGTGGACTGGCAGGCGTGACAGTTAGCACGTGCGATGAAGGCGTGACTGAACGGCCGTGACAGTTAGCACGGCGGACTGACTGACAGGCGTGACGTTAGCAGTGGAATGACAGGCGTGACAGTTAGCACATTGCGCGGCCTGACAGGCGTGACGTTTAGTCACGTGCGGGACTGACCAGGCGTGACAGTTAGCACATGTGGACTGGCAGGTGACAGTAGCACGTGCGGACGACAGGCGTGACAGTTCGCACATGTGGATCGGCAGGCGCCGGCAAAGGACGTACACCATGGTCGGCACTCCTGAGCAGCACGGGCATCATGGGTGCGCGCCCTCAATGACCTCTTCAAGGGCCATGGAGGCCAGACGGGAAGAGATCGACTTCAAGGTACTCACCCCCGAAACATGGAGATGGCTGCAGCTTGCAACTGGATGAGTTTTATGGTTACTTTCCGGCGTTGTTTTGGGGTTATGTTGTGAAAAGTTTTCCATTTTAGCTGTAAAGCTTATTGGGAAAGTTCACAACGCCACTCTGCCGAATGGCATTGCGAGCAAAGGCGCCGTACATGCATCGTCAGTGATAGCGTAGGTGTAATGACAGCATGGCTCGTGGGTAGACTTATGGTGAGCCCGTCTGACAAAAAGCCCGAAAATACGCAGGACGTTACATGCACATCTGAACACGCGCCCGGGTGGCCGGTTAAACACCCTTCGCTCATGTGGGGGGCAATTTGACCCCCTGAGATCTCGGAAACTAAGACAGCCAGTATCACCAAATTCATGGGGTGGCTTTGCCTGCATATAAACTCAGTTATGTCGTAATTTGGCGTTTTTAGGCTGTGATCTAGGGTTCAATAAGGTCAAACAAGGTCAAACTCAAGGTGGGTGTCCAAAGTCCCTCAGACCTCTTCATGCAACCACCGTGAACTCAGATAGCTGTTCTAAGCAAAAGTTCAATGGTGTTTCTAAGATCAGCAACCCTTTGTTATCTTGAAAAAGGTTAAGGTAACAAAAATTACGAGATTGCTGCTATTTTGCCATTGAAACGAGCGTTAGGGATCACGCCGAGTCGTGTGTTCCTAAAACCAAAATGTTGGCCGTGATCATTTTAGGTCTGTGACCCAATCTGACCTATACAAAGTCCATGGAGCATGTATTTTACGGTCTCTGTTATTTATAGATTTGAAAGGAGCGCCAGAAACCACCTCATATAGTAAGCTCTCGAGAAAAAAGGTTCGTTTGGACCTCGGTCTGACACCTTCATCCCTGCTGACTCCAGGCCAATGAAATTTGTTGTGGTTCTAAATTCAGTTGGTGTTTTGTCGAAGAGCCTCTCTCAGATATATATGGCTTTGTCTAGCACTCCGTTGGCGCATTAAATTGAATGATTCTCTGGAACTGGCCTTCGCTGGCAGCACCGGCTGGCCTGACTTTGAAGCAGCATAGGTTAGTGGCCTTACAAGGTACATCACATTTCAATGCTAAAATATCCGTTATTTAATTACCTACAGCTATTCGAGACTTGACGCAGCTATACCGCGCGGCTTAGAAGTCATTCTGGGTGGGGGGTTTGGGGGGCGGGGGTTGAATTGACCCTCACCCGAGCGCGTGCTAAGTCATGATACCGGGAGCACCGAAGGACGAAACCTACGAGCACAAGATGGGACAGAAACAAATTGTGTATCTAAGCTCATCGTCATTTGCGTATGCATACGGTGTTCTACATGAGGGTAAAGCGTCTTCACCTACCGGCAGATGACGCTTAGCTATCTGGAGATTTACAATGAGAACATTCGGGACCTTCTGAAGCCGAGCAGCCATACGTTAGAGCTGCGCGAGGACGCGAAGAAGGGCACCATAGATGTGGCTGGTCTCTCTGAGGTCACCACCCTCAATACTAAGGAGGTGAGAACTCGGTGCACACTTTCTGTGGGAAGGCGATCTGGCCCATTTCATGAACTGATGTTTTTTATATGAGCGACGCGCCCTGCCTCCTTGTGCTAAAACATGCTTTGCCAGCTAGTATTACCAGCGACTGGTGGCATACATAGACCTTTCGTTATTCAGCGAGACATGTCGGCATTTTACGACGGTTTTGCGATGTCGCTTGCACCTTCTCGAATAACCTCCGTGTGGCGTACGTGCACGGTGTCGAATAGTATATATATATATATATATATATATATATATATATATATATATAGCCTTGTCAAATAGGCATGCAGCTTAGAACGTCGGAATTTGGCTCAAACAGATACCGGCGCCATTTTTCGAGATCTACAATGGCATTTCCTGAAAAAAAAGACAGAGACGGGCTCCATTCCGCTGCATGGGGACCTGACCGCACCCCAGCCGAGCAAACAGCACACACACCCTCGCACGTGGTTGGCGTCTCCCGACGGCCAGCCGTACGCCGTCGAACGGCCCCGGAGTGTGCACTGACAAGATGCCCCTGATTGGTCGCCGCGTGATGGGGGTTGACTGGCCGCTGCAGGTGATGAGGCTGCTCACCAAAGGAAACAAGGAGCGGACCATGGAGTCCACGGCGGCCAACAAGACCTCCTCCAGGAGCCATGCTCTGCTGCAGGTCAGCCTCGCCCCGTTTGTCACGCTCGCCGCCACTGGTGCTTAACAACGCACTCAGCTGCTGAGGGTCTGCGGGCTCACTTGCCTCTCAGCCTGACAGGAAGAGCGGGCACTGCGAGAAACTGAAGCCCGCACCTCTACACTACCAGTGCTCCGTTTGTTTTTGTTACCTCAGCATGAAATCGACAGCTGAG